GTGGGACAGGAGGAAAATAAAAGGAAATAAATGAAAGAACTGGGAGACAAAGGGCATTTATAGAGGTCTAAATACAGATATGTATATGTGCAAACACATTTATATATAATGATAGGGAAATAAATCTATGTACATATATCTATTTATAAATTATTACGGCAACATATGGACACTGGGCCTCCACTCAAGTACTCCCTCAACACAAGAACAATTTGTTCTAACATGGTACTCTGTGATGTTCACCTTCCCTGACACAATCACCGAAGACAAATGGGTACATAAGCAAATGTGGTGAAGAAGGCTGATGGTGCCTGGCTATCAAAAGATATAGCATCTGGGGTCTTAAAGGCTTGAAGATAAACAGGTGGGCATCTAGCTGAGAAGCAACAAAGCTCACATGGAAGAAGCACATCAGCCTGTGTGATCATGAGGTGTCGATGGGATCAGGTATAGGCATCAACGACCCAAACCAAAAAACCCAAAACAAACAAAAAGCATATCAGTGGGAATGAGTGGGAGGACAGAGTGGAGACCCAGAGCCCATTAGTAGTCAACTGGGGCACCTCCTTTCAGAACGGCCACAAGGAAGAGAAGAGTCAGTCAGGGTGCAGTATAGCACTGATGAAACATACAACAACCTTCCTCTAGTTCTTTAATGCTCCCCCCAACGCCCCCACTACCATGACCCTATCTTACAAATCTGGCTAGACCAGAACATGTACACTGGTACAGATAAGAGCTCACAACACAGGGAATCCAGAACAGATAAACCCCTTAAGACCAATAAGGGGAGGAGGGATACTAGGAGGGAAAGGAGTGGGGGGTGGGGGGAGTAAGGGGGAACCGACCATAATGATCAACATATGGCCCTCATCCAATGGGGACAGATAGCAGAAAAGTGGATAAAATAAGATAGCAGTCAGTGTAAGACATGAGAAAAAATGTATAAATTATCAAGGGGGCATGGGGGAGGGAGAAAAATGAGGAACTGCTGCCAGGGTATCAAGTAGAAAGAAAATGTTTTGAAAGATGACAACGTATGTACAGATGTGTTTGACAAAATGGATACATGTATGGATTGTGATAAGAGCTGTTAAGAGCCCCCAAGAGAATAACATTTAAAAAAAAATAGCAAAAGCCATTAAAAAGAGGGCACTGACAACAAGCCCACGTGGAAGAAGCACACCAGCCTGTGTGATCCCGAGGGCCCAAGGGATCAGGTATAGGCATCAAGGAATGAAAATCATATCACTGTGAATGAGGGGGGTGCAGATTGGGGACCCAAAGCCCGTCTGTGGGCAACTGGACATCCCCTTACAGAAGAGTTGTGGGGAGGATATGTGCCAGTCAGGGTGCACTGTGGTAACGATGAAACATACAACTTTCCTCTAGTTCTTAAATGCTCCCCTCCCTCCCACCCACCCACTATCATGATCCCAATTCTACCTTACAAATCCAGCTAGACCAGAGGATGTACACTGGTACAGATAGGAACTGGAAACACAGGGAATCCAGGGCGGATGATCCCTTCAGGACCAGTGGTGTGAGTGGCGATACTGGGAGGGTGGAGGGAAGGTGAGGTGGAAAGAAATTGATTACAAGGATCTATATATAACCTCCTCTCTGAGGAATTGACAACAGAAAAGTGGGTGAAGGGAGACGTCGGGCAGTGTTAGATATGACAAAATAATAATAATCTATAAATTATCAAGGGTTCATGAGGGAGGGGGGAGGGAGGGGGGAAAAGAGAAGCTGATATCAAGGGCTCAAGTAGAAAGAAAATGTTTTGAGAATGATGATGGCAACAAATGTACAAGTGTGCTTGGCACAATGGATGTATGTATGGATTGTGATAAGCGTTGTACAAGCCCCCAATAAAATGATTTAAAAAAAAAAAGAGGGCATTGATAGGCTTTCTTGGTAAAAGATTGCCACAAACCTTCACTTTATAAGAAATGCAATTATCTGTGAAGCACATAAAGCAAAACACAATAAAATGAGGTTAAGTCTGTACAGTAACTCTTACAGATTTTTACAACCATTGCATTTTTCAGGTGTTTTAAGTCAGTGACTCCTAAACCTAACTGCATTGAAAAAGGTTTCTGAATTTACCTAAAATCCTTGGAAACTTTTGAAAATATTTTTGGAAGGCCAACCCCAAACCTACTGGATCTCTAGGGATAGAACCTGGACATCTGTATTAAAAAGTAATCATTTAAAATATTAAATATTGAAAAAGGATAAAGTTCAAGCAAATTTGATATGTAACTGGTTTTGGGAACCACGTGTTGTAGGGCAATCAAAACCAATACAAACTCAGTCGATATACAGCACTTGTGAGAACGCCGGCTCTGCAGGTCTGTGTGGCTGTCCTGTGCCTTGCAAGTTTCCTGGTTTTGACAGGGTGCATCCTTACCATTTCCTTATCGTTGTCTATGAGTGAAAAATACGGAGTCTTCCTTCTTTAACAGGTTTCTGCCTTATACAGGTTTTGCCTCATTTTATTGTATATGAACACCAAAGAACAGCTGGGCAAATTGCAGTTTACTACAAATGCACTCTAGATCTGTATGAAGAAAACACACACCAGTTATCTGAGCACATTTGAAATCCCCTTCAAGCTGAAAACGAGTCTAGGAGATTATACACATTTTAATTAGCATTTGACATCTCAGTTTACAGGCTAGCCCATCAAAACCTAGCACAGTGCAGGAGAGACTCCTGGATCGGGATCCCAAACACCTGGATTCCAGAGGTTGTTCTCCAAAGTGCCATTGTGTGACCTTGATTTGCTATTTGATTTCTTCTGGTTTCAATTTCTATGATAAGTTATTAGCAACTAATAAAGAAATACGACACTGTGATAGACAAGGGTTTGTATTCAACATGGGGGGGGGGGGCAGGATGCTCAGTGGTCTGGCAGTCAAGGTGTGGTCATCTCCCAGGAGGAGACCTACTATGCATAGCAATTGATTCAGAGAATGTTTCCTTGGAGCTGCGTTCTGTTTCCAATATACGTGGACCATGGAAAAGCTTGCCTGGTTGTGCTGGGTCAGATCCTGCACCTGGCTCATCACCCGACCTCCAGTTCTTTACACTTGAGGCCCTGGCCTGCCTGCCATCTTACCCGCTGATCTTGGTTTCAGTCACTGAAGCTATGGAGTTTGGCATCCAGTTTGGCATCTGCCCCATGGACTTGGAACTTGCCCACCTCTGTATAACTGTGTAAGCCATTTCCTCAATATAAACCTATCTGTATATGCAGAGATATAAGCTTCGCTGTTTTTTGTTTTGTTTTCCTGTAAAGATCCCAACCCAAGACAGCAGCCGGATGCAAATGTGCTAACAAACTCTATCTGCTTTAGCATTTCTGTGCACGCCCTTCTCAATCCTAGATGCTAGAAGCTGCTAACGAGTAAAGGTGATGAGAGCCCCACTTCATGTTAAAGTCTAACAAAGCTGCAGTCACAGGGAGTTCAGACAGAATGGGTTTACTGGAGCCATTAAAGGACAAGCAAGAACAGTTCTGGCTGCTAAGCAAAGCAGTTCAATCACTGTTTGGCCACAATTAGGAGACAATAAGATACTTCATTTCCACTACAGTTTACACATTTTCTGCAGCCTTCTTCATCCCAGCAACTCAACTATTTACATACAATGGGAACATCTGGTCCACAGTTCCTGGAAGGCACCTACTTCCTGTTCACACAGTAGTGTGGCTACTGAGTACTCAGAAAAGGAGAGTACCAAGAGACCTGGGGGAAGCCTAGGTAGGTATATGTTGGGGAAGGGCTGGAGATTCCTAAATGACTGATAACTGCAAGGGGGGGAAATGGATTGAGAGACAAAACATAGTTCTTTAAAGATTATATAAAATAGAAAGACCACAGGCTAATACAGCTGACCGAATTTTCTTGTTTATTAAAGAACAGAAATAAAATATGCTTTAAAAAAATGGCATTAAAACAAGTTTACCTTTCCACTGAATAAAACTGAGGGGGGGAAAAGCTGGCTTTCAGATCATACATTTATTTAAAAAAATAAAATGGATTGACAAAGTTACATTATTCTGCATGCTGACAGGATTTCCCAAGCCCACCAGAGAGATTTTCCTTCTCGAGCAATTAAAAGGTGACTGCCTTAACAATGTAACCACAGGAAGCCTTTCAAGGCCAATTCAACGTCATTATCACTCGGTTCCACTTCACTTGCCAGTGGGACTTATCTGCGCCACAAGCTGAGTTTACTAGTAAAAGAAAGACTGAGAAGACATTAAACATGGAAGTCAATAAAAGATGATTTGTTAAAATTATAAAGTAACCATCTTTTGGCCTGTAAATATTCTACATTAGAAATCTCCATCACTGGGGATCTGCTCCCCATGACAATTTTATTTAGAATCCAGGATGATTACAAACACATGGCCTTTTTCCTGCATGCTTTCTCAAGCCAAACCCTGTATGACCACATGTACAAGTTACAGGATGGGACTGGAAAGCCCCGTTCTCACTCAGGATCATTAAGGAGTGTTACCAATAACAAAGAATAAAAGTCATACAACATTGATTATTATAAATTATATTTGTTCTTATCTGCCCCGTTCTCCTTAATATGTTCAGATTTGCTCCTTCAGAAAACATGAGTTTCCCACCGAGCCCCTCTGTATCATTAGTGATGATTAGAATAAGCTGTGGGGACCTTGATTCTGAAGACGTGTATGTGAAGGTGAGACGCAATTTGATTGCAGACACTGACACAATAGCGTATCAAATCAAGTAAGGAGAAGACCTGGAAAAAGAGAGATGGTTAGAGTCCTAGGCCCTGCTTGGCCCCTCCCTGAACTCTACGAAGCTAGAGAAAACTGGTCTTTGACTTCCCTCCACTCCCAGGCTCATCTCAATTGTAAGCAACTTAGCAACTGAGTTCCCTCACCGATCCTTCCATTACACTGAAGGCCAACAATTTATTTCTTAGAAAAACAGATATACTGCTCAAATAGGCCATTACATTAAGAAAGTAGCTACAAATAATACATGAATGAATGTGGCCGTGCACCAAAAACCTTATTTATAAAAATATAGGCCATTGGCCCAAAGGGTGTGCTTTGCCAATTTTTGCTTTGCAGTCCCAAATTTGGAATGTCTGAGCCTCCAAACAGGCAGTTCAGGCATTCCAAATCTTTAATGAACGATCACTCATGGTTGACCTACTGAAGTGAGAAGTTAAGTACTTACAGACACAGTGCAATGCTTACCAGAGCAATCCAAAGGACAATATATTCATCGATAAAACTGTTAAAATACTGATCCAAAAACAAAAGTGCTGGACCTATGAATGCTGTGTCATGCAAATGCATTTCACTTTTTGTCATATGTGCAACCTATGAATAAAAATAGAATCACTGATGTAGACTTTTCATGTTACAGTGACTAAGCTACATAGTAAATCAGTATTGTGCCCAAATATCAAGTTTCAAGAATTAGTTAGGAATACCTAAATTCCCACTAAAAAACTGCCAACAACAGGAAGTCTATGTGTGAATGATGCCCATAAAAAGGAATATATCCCATGCGAACCAAGCCTCCAATTGAGATAGAAGCAGATACACTAAACAAGAAAATTAAATGGCAGATATTATGGAGAAAAATTACAGAAGTTGACGGAGCTTCTGATAACCGTAAGCTGTAGCTTCCCAGAGGCGCAGAAATAGCTCCCACCTTGAGAGATTCTGATTGTAGGAAACCAAGCTCTCAGGCTGTTTCAGATGTACAGAATGAAAACCATGGCCCAAACACCCAGTTCAGATAAGAGTTAAAAACAAAGCAAACTTAGATGCTTACCACAAGCTTATTAGTGATTTTAGCAGATACAAAACCAAATGTCAGTATATAAAGACAAGGATGCTTTTCAAAAAGCTGAACTGCTGATTTCTTGTATATCATTGCAGCTAATGAAATCACTGATCCAATATGGAGAAAAGGAGAAAGGACACTTGTTCCCTGTACAATGAAAAGAGGAAAATAATTAATAGCATCCATTCATCAGCTACATGGAACTGCTGTGAAATAGCTCCACACAAACCATAAAGAACTATGGTACCTCACAGCCAGCAGCTTCAATAAATGAGCACCTAGTGACAAGTAGCAGCAGGAAATGGCTAGGCACAAACAGGATTTCATTTAAGAGACCAGGCTTGTTTATATACCAGGTCATATTTCTTTCGTGCGTGCGTGTGTGTGTGTGTGTGTGTGTAAGTATACATATAAGTACATATGCATATACACCCACTTCTCAAAAGATCAATTTGTTATGCAAAAATGGATTAGATCACAAAATGGAGGATGACATCACATAACTGCCCAATGCCATCATTACGTAATGCTCAATTACATAACAGCATAACTAGTTGCCAAGCCCAGGAAGCATGGCCCAGTCAAGTTGATTTATAACCTTAACAACAACAGTGTCACTTTTGCCCCACAGATGGCATTCTTGTCTGCCAGATGTCCATTGTTAGTACACAAAATAGACTTATTATTGTTATAAAGGTGAAATGTTGCACATAAGACAGCCAATAAGTGAGAAGTAGGTGTATAAACAGACAAATGTATGAATGGACAAATAAAACTGAAAGATTTTGGACATTACTTGTTTTTAGAGCTAAGCAGAAACTCAGAATTAACAAATGATTTCATGTATTTCAAATCAATCCAAACAGAACAAAGCCAACACAAAACCAAGTCTTAGTGCAAACAATCCTGAGGACTTAGGGTGTACTTACTGCTATTGTCGATCCGTTTTTGCCAACACCTCCTGTGAAGATCACACGGAAGTAACTTGTGCAGGAAAATATGGTTCCTGCTACAGTACAAAGTGCAGGGAAAATTTTCACTGGAATATTCAGCACGGGAATCTTTAATGGTAGAGAGAGAGCATGATTAAAATACATTCAAAATAAAATAGGACACTCAAATATTTGATACCCATTCCCAAATACTCTCCAATGCTTCTAGTTGAGTGGGTTCTTAGGTAATTCCCCTTTCCATTCCATTACGAGCCTATGTAAAAATTAATCTTACTTCTCTTGATACCAACCTTAAAAAATGAACTGTAAAGTGGACTGTGGTGATGTGTTACGTATATGCCAATAAATGATTAAAAAACCCCACTTGGTCCAACTTTCATAAACTGTCTCTTAAGCTAAGGAGGAGTCATGAATGTGGCCCCAGGTCTGGCGACAATGAACCAGAGGCTGTCTTCTGATCTTTCGTAACAAAGAAATGTACCTTGCTTTTTACTTTGTCGATGAAAAAGAAATTCTACTTCTAAATGTGTAGTTTCTTACTAATTGTTGTGAGAAATTATAGAGCATAAAATATTTGCAATTAGATTAGAAAATCTGCAAATTAGAGTACAAAAGAGAAAAGTTCTGTTCAGAAGACTCCCCAATTCCCAACTGTTGGCAAAAGTAAAGGGGAAAACACATCAAGCACACACAGATAAGCAGAGTTCTACAACTGGGTATCTAAAATGTTACCACCTGCTTCCAGAAGTAAATATTAAACTCCTTCCTATATTGTACTGAAATATAGATCGATTACTTAAAATAAAGGCAAGTGGGTCAAGATCAGGCTCTTGGTCTTGAAAACTCAATACCCATCATTTAAAAGGAAAAGCTCTAATATTGAATTTTAAAAATAATTTAAAATGTGCTTCCCTTTTTTGGTGGGAAACAGAGAATAGGAAGAGTGTATACAAATGAATCCCTTGTTCTCATATATTAAGAAGCCTGGCAGGTTGTGTTTCTGGGAAGCCTTGACCCTTGTGAGTTGGAGATCCCAATCACATTCTTATAATCAACATTGTTCCCCACTACATCCTCCCATAATAGTGCTGCCTTAAAGTTACCCCTTACAAGACCATGGCTGACTGTAATCTAGCTGGCAGCTTTAACTATAAGGAGCAGCATGTGCTATTATTCTTAGTTCTCTAGGCTCTGGAGACAGTCACTCCCTTTTACCTGCTCCCAGCACTGGTAGGTTACTCCTCCAGTGTACTCAGGGACCTTTGAGGTTAGGATACAACCCACTTTGTTATGTATGTGGTTACCTATAATCAGGGGGGCTGGCATGCCCCTAGAGCAGGCGTTCTCAAACTAAGGCCACTTGCAGCCCGCCAAGGACATTTATCTGGCCTACTGGGTGTTTTTGCCCCGTTTGGTTTTTTTTAACTTCAAAATAAGGTATGTGCAGTGTGCCTAGGAATTTGTTCATAGTTTTTTTTTTTTTTTAAACTATAGCCCGGCCCTCCAACGGGTCTGAGGGACAGTGAACTGGCCCCCTGTTGAAAAAGTTTGAGGACCCCTGCCCTGAGTATCTAAGCCTCTGTTGGAAATATTTTCTCTCTACACTGACCTAGCTCCTGAAGTCATGGCTGCAAAGGCAAGCCTTTGCCTGCTTTCTCTTGTCTGCTGTCTCCTTAGTCACCCCTCAGTTACACAGTCAACCCTTCGGTGTGGCCCCTGGGACACATTTGGTTGTGGGGGCTGGTACCCCACACTTTTTGCACCTCTTTTTAGGCTTTCTGAAGCCTCAAATATCCCATAGAATAGATAACAAAATCAATAATAAATGACCTAATTTAATAATAGAAACAATGCTAATAACAAGACGGCAAACGTCTACAATGCAGGCTATGGGTTCTTCAAGTAAAAACATTTTAATTAGAACTGTTCACACCTTTTATGACTGTAATCTGTCTACACATTCAAATAGGAAATGTGACACTTCCCCTTTTCTTTTGCACACATGCAATTTGAGTGGGGTGGGGTGGGGTTGGCAAACAATAATCTTAAAGTGTATTCTGTTTCTTAAAAATTCTCAAGAGCTTACGTTTGTTTATAAAACTCTATGACCTCTTATGAAACTCCAGCTCTTAAAAACAAAACAAAACAAAAACAGCTCTGGAATTAACTGTTCAAATTTCATACTGAACTGTAATTTTTCTCCCTACCCCCCATGAACTGTAATTTTCTAAAACAAAGTAGGTCAACTTAAAAATGAAGCCTAGCATTTCACAGAATAGCGTAAATGATCTTCCTCCTTTCTTAATGATCTCTAATACTTATACCCAAAATACACAACTTGTTTTCAATAGAGGAGAAAAATCAACACCGTGGCTGGTTGCTTTGAACTCCAAGAGATTTGTTTCTGCTCTAGTTCAGGAAACCATTGACAAAATCTGATGCACCTGGCTGAAATGCAATACACTGGCCAGCTTCCTGGTCTCTCTCTCTCTCTCCTCTTTTCCTCCATAGACAAAGGGTCTCTCTGGCAGAGGAGGAAATACTACACTCCCTCACGTTCCAAAAGCAGCATTAAATCTGGCCTAGGACGTCCTGTAGGAGAGTAGGGTACCTGGGGACAGCCATCTCTGCAACTCTGAACTGAATGAGCATCAGTGTAGTTACACTGCTTTAGGCTCACGGAAACTGTTGTCCTTTGAAAGAAGAATAGAGAACACTAAAAAAAGCTCGGCAATCAGGGCATGACTCGAACCACAAAGCAACCTGACAAGTTACCAGACCTGTGAGCAAAGTATCCGAGCTGTTCTAAGGCTCTCATCACGTCTGTTATATACAACCAAGTAAAAGCTCCCAGGAGCAGGGATTTGTTTGATGCTTGTATTTACTGCAGAGCCCTAGGTATTGCAGGTGTTCAATGTGCATTTACTGAAACAAGATCGAGCTCTTCTCCCCTTTCCTTACCTTCTATGGGGAATTACTGTGTTGGCAGAATAAAGAAATGAGTCTTGCTTCCCCAGTAACCATGAAAGGGATTTGGCTACAATGAGGCAAAGTGAAGGGAGAGCTAGTGCCAGAAGGACCCCAGGCCTCACCTGGCGACCCCGCAGGGGCTGCGCCACCTGAGGCGACAAATAGAAAGCACTAGGCGCAGCGTAGTTATTTCCATCCCTCACATCAAGGAAGGTGGGCACCATCTAGCTTTCCCACTTTTGCTCTTTTTGGCATTATTCCATGGGACTCATCCACTCATACATATAGCCAGGATGCTACACTGAAAGCACCTTTATCTCTGGCCGACCCAGTTTCCGTGGCCTCCCAGACAGGAAGAAGAAGAGCTCTCTTAAGTCACGGAGTCTGCCCCATAAGGCAGAGGAAAAACCCTCAGAATCATGTCATTAAATGATGTATCCAAATACATCAATTTAAACGAATTAATTTTTAAATAGAGATAGAAAACCAGTATCTTAAATTCTCAACACCTTCGGTTTAATGCTTTAGGTTAATGCAGACAATTAAGCTGCTGGACTAGTATTTCTAGAGGCATAAAAAATTTTCTATGTGCATTGTAAATTAAGCAGAAATAATTATTTGAGATTGGAAACTTTCTTCTAAAACATGCAAGAATGCCCCTTTTAAATCATTTTAATATACTGTCAACAAATTCCAATAACAGCAAATGCTAACACAGTGGCCAGTCTCCACCGAGTTTGACTTATTGAGTGCACAGTACTTTTCACGGGCTCGAGCACACACACTTGTGAAGATGGCACGGGACCGGGCAGTGTTTCCTTTTGCTGTGCACCGGGCTGTCAGGAATTGGAACTGACTCACCGGCATCTAACAAACAGCAACTCTTTAAAGGCAGTTCATAAAAGGACATCTCTGAAGAATGAGATAGAAAGAAGTCACAAAATTTCATTCATAAAGTGCTACCTGATGATTCTTAAAATTTCCTCTCATTTGTTGCCCAGACTGGAATTTGATCGTTTCATCTATATCTTACCAACTACTAGCTGTAAAAGCCCCACGTGCCTGTCGCTTTGGTCTGACATGGCATATGTTGCTTTGAGGCTAGAAGCTCTCTCACTGGTGTTTCCAGTGCCAGTAGGGTCACCCCAAGTGAACAATGTCAGTGGAACTTCCAAACTAAGAACAGACCATGAAGAAGGAATGGGCTGTCCACTTCTAAGGAGTGAGCCACTGAATTCACTATGGAGCGCACGGACCCATCGTCAGTTACTGAAAACCTACAGAGGCAGAACGCTGTCAGAGATAGTGCTGGAAGATGAGGCCCTCATCTCAGAAGACACTCAAAATATAACTGAGAAACAGCTGACTTCTCAGATGAGAGCTGACCATAATGACAAGGATGGAGGGAGCCTTGAGGAGTAATGCTTTCTGGAATTCCATTAGCTTATGGAGCATAGCTCAAAATGAGAAGAAACAGCAGCAAACATGACTTAGTAATTGGAACTTGGAATGTATGAATTATGAATCAAAGAAAATTGAAAGTTATCAAAAATGAAATGGGATGCATGAAGATTGATATTCTTGGCATTTGTAAGCTAAAATAGACTAGTATTGGCCATTCTGAATCAGAAAATCATATGGTTTGCTATGCTAGGAATGGCACAATAAAAAACAATGGAATTGCATTCATCGACAGAAAGGACATTTTACAATCTACCCTAAAGTGCATATCCCAATACAAGGAAATCCAATGAATACAACTATTATTCAAATTTATGCACCAGCCACCCACCAAAGCTAGTGATGCAAAAATTGAAAAATTCTACTAACTTCTTCAATCTGAAATGGCTCAAACACAAGATACGGTGATAATTATTGACGATGAAACACCACAGTTGGAAACAAAGAGGAAGAACAGTAGATGAAAAATATGGTCTTGATAGAATCCAAACTGGAGATCGCATGATGGAATTTTGAAAAATAAACTACGTACTTGTTCATAGCAAATGCTTCTTAACAACACAAAAGGTGACACACAGATGGAATTAATCCCCCAGATGGGATACATGGGAATCAAGCTGACGTCATCTGTGGGAAGACACAATGCTGAAGATCGTCCAACAACGGTTGCAGCAATA